GTATATCCAGAGAAGCGTGTGTTGGGAATATTCCTCTATCAAGTTTAAGGGCAAATGTATGGAAAAACCTATGTGTGAAATACAGGGTGGCGCATCGAAAACGAAACAGACGCATTTACTGGCAGCTCAGTTTTTTTTGGAAAAACGCTCAGACCCGTCGATTTTGTTTTCGAGGGGGACACAAATTTGGCAAAAAATCACGTTAACACGTGCAGCCCCCTAAGCGGGGGTGGCACAACCCTAAATTCTTAAATGGAAAGAGGGGGGGTCGAGTGATACCTTATTTTAAAGGTCTTTCAATTCCCTTATAATGATGTAAAATACATGATCTTCAGTTCAGTAGTTTTGAAGATTTATTGATTTAAAGCTTAAAGTAGACTTTAATAGGTACCTACATCAGATTAGTTTGTACTACTTTCAGAAGAAATTTGACTAAAAGAATTTACTTAATAAGTAAATGCTTTTCTTCACTACGCCCACGCTTTGTTTATCATTTTGTTGTTGAAAATAGCTATTGGAGCGTTTTTTTGTGGCAAAAAGTTATTTCTTGAAGAAAGATAAGGAAATATCTAGTAATTATTTTAAATAGGAATTTAGTACATAGTTTGCGATTAATTTGACCAAACTTTGTTGCTAAAATAACTTGTAATGCTTTATTACATAAACTATGTAACTATGTGACAATACAAGACAGCGTTATTCCAACGCCCTTTCACGTACAATGCGGTGAAGTTGCTTAATTAATTTGACCAAAACCTTATTAGCAACCGTTCTAAAAAGAAACCTATAAGGGTCTGTTTATTAAATGCTTAATAGTTTTTTCTCTCTCCAGTTTAAATACAGGGTGATGCATCGAAAACGAAACAGACGCATTTACTGGTAGCTCAGTTTTTTTTGGAAAAACGCTCAGACCCGTCGATTTTGTTTTTGAGGGGGACACAAGGTTGGCAACACCAACCCTAATATCTTAAAAGGAAAGAGGGGTCGAGTGATACCTTATTTTGAAGGTCTTCAAATTCCCTTTATAATGATGTAAAATACATGAGCTTCAGTTCATTAGTTTTGAAGATTTATTGATTTAAAGCTTAAAGCAGACTTTAACAGGTACATCAAATTAGTTTGTACTACTTTCAGAAGAAATTTGACTAAAAGAATTTACTTAATAAGTAAATGCTTTCTTCACTACGTCCATGGTTTGTTTATTATTTTGTTGTTGAAAATAGCTATTGGAGCGTTTTTTTGTGGCAAAAAAGTTATTTCTTGAAGAAAGATAAGGAGATATCTCATACTTATTTTAAATAGGAATTTAGTACATAGTTTGCGATTGATTTGACCAAACTTTGTTGCTAAAATAACTTGTAACGCTTTATTACATAACTTAACCATGTTATATTCCACAGCAGAAAGAGTTGAGATTATCGAAATACTGTTCGGAAATAATCAGTGCGCTAATAGAACAGCAGAAATATTTAATGAGCAACATGAGAACAGTAACGTGCATCGAAAATATGTTCTAGAACTTGTTGCTAAATTTCGGGAAACTGGGTCAGTCGCCAATAAAAACGCAACATGAAAATCCCATAAGGAACGAAGCAATAGAAGTGGGGGTTTTAGGGCAAGTTTATGTAGATCCTACGTTAAGTACCCGCAATTGGAGAATGTGTGTGGTGTTAGTCGACGTACTGTCCAACGGATACTAAAGGCCCATAGTTTTCATCCGTATAAAATTCACCTGGTACAAGAACTTAATGAAGACGATTTTGATCGGCGATTACAATTTTGTGAAGATTTGAGTGAACGAATTATAAACGATGAACATTTTCTATTCAACACTTGCTTTTCCGACGAATGTTCCTTTTTCTTAAATGGCGTAGTAAATCGTCATAACTGCCGATATTGGTCCGATTCTAATCCAGAATTTATCATGAGGTTCATACACAGCAGCCACAAAAATTAAATGTTTGGGCTGGTATTTTTGGCGATCATTTAGTTGGTCCTTTTTCTTAACTGGAAATTTGACCGGTGAAATGTATTTGGAATTACTGGAAGACGCCATAGATTCTGCATTAACAGCCATAATTGAAAATCAGAATGATCGGCGGTACATTGCGAATAGGTTGATGTTCCAAGAGGATGTTGCCCCACCACATTACGCATTACGTGTTCGACAATATTTAGGTCAGACGTTTTCAGATCGATGGATTGGTAGATTTGATGGCCCCCAAGATCGCCAGATTTATCACCGTTGGATTTCTTTATGTGGGGTAATTTGAAAAGCAAAATCTATGCTACTCAGCCAACATCATTAGAAGACCTGCGACCAAGAATTGTGAATGAGTGCCTTCAAATTACTCCTCAAATATTGCAAAATGTGCGGCAACGTTTTGAGCAAAATCTTACTCACCTAACGGGTCAGTTCATTCTTCATTTTTAAATTACTTTGCTGCCAAATGTATTGATCTCCACTAATGATGATGTATTAGTTTTATTTAAGCTTTAAATCAATAAATCTTCACAACTACTGAACTGAAGTACAATAATTTTACAGGTATATCATTATAAAGGGAATTGAAAGACCTTTAAAATAAGGTATCACTCGACCCCCCTTTCCATTTAAGACTTTGGGGGTGGTGTCACCCCCGCTTAGGGGCTGCACGTGCTAACGTGATTTTTTGCCAAACTTGTGGCCCCCTCGAAAACAAAATCGACAGGTCTGAGCGTTTTTCAAAAAAAAAACTGAGCTGCCAGTAAACGCGTCTGTTTCGTTTTCGATGCGCAACCCTGTATATCTAATAGGTGCGTAGAACTACCGGGATTGGAGGCGTATAAATATATTAACTCCAAAAAAATTGAGAAATACCCTCCTCCACCCCATACCGCATACAATCCAAAACCTCCAATTTTAAACGCCAAATTTTTTTTCTGAAATTGTTCAGGAACCTCCGAAATGCTAAAATAGCGGAGTTTCAACGATTTTTGTTTTTTAATTTTTTTGCCTATAGCTCCGCATTCACTGAACGGATTTTCAAAAAGCACAAAGATGTTTGGTCCATGGTATCTAGTCGTAATCTTGTGTGAACATTTCATCTAGCTACTTTACTACTACTTTCTGAGTTATATACGAGACAAGGATTAGCAGACAGTCAGAAAGATCGAAGGAAAATACTGACATGGTTTTTCGTGATTTACATGCCATGCACCATCAAAAAAAAACGTAGGAACTGATATTCGAAATTTTCCGGGACGCGTGAGAAGTAAAACATCTATTCGGAAAGATTTAGGTCGATAGATCATTGCATACAGTTACTTCTATTTTTCACAAAAGTATCACTGCAACCTTTAATACAGTCGTTCGTAGTCTAGTGGACAAAAATGATGAGGGGTTTGATGAAATTCACACTAATTCTTAGATACCTTGAACTGGTTTTTGCAACTTGTGTTCGAATTGATTAATATTAGAAAGAGAGGTTATTTGCTTTCCGATTAATATATCTGTATAAGGTGTTACAGGTGTTCAGTTCATATAAATATTTGTCAGACGGAGTAGTGTTTAGTCTTGACCGTCTTTGAATATTTCACATTACTGTTCCAGAGTACAGACTGAATTGAAATAGATGAGTTTTGGAAAACGTAATGTATTATGTAAGACCACATTGACATGTACAAAATTGTATTCTAGATCACTTCAGTGGCGTTCGTAATCATAAATTTACGTTCAATAGAAAACAGTATGCCGCTTGTCTGCTTTCTGCAAAAAATCCGAATCTTAAACCATAATGTCAAAAACTGGTTGATGGAGGGTTTTGTTTTGTCGAATAACAATTATTGAAATTAACTATTTAAATAATTGATAGTTATTAAGAATGGAAATCGGGGGGATAATTTTGTTACGAACGTAACAAATATCTCCAAGAGAGATTTTTCCAGCAGAATCAATACGACACACATTTTGGCAAAACCAGTGGTGTACAATTTATCCAGAAACCTAGTGCACAAACACCCTGCGTCATGAAAACGGGGAGTTTACGAGTCTATGATCATGTGAACCTTTCTCATATTTTTACATTCTAATCTGTCAGGCTTAGGATAGTGCGGTGTTCAGCCCTGATAATAACTCAAATTTCAGACTTATCGAATCTATGAAATCTCTGAGCTTAATATTTTACAATATATGTAACTTTCATATACTTTTTTTATTTTAGTAGATTGTTCATTAAAAGGGCAAATTACCTGTGCGGGTTCGAATCCCGTCCCAGGAGAAATTTTTCTCTTGGCTATGGATGTTTTGATTGTCCGTAGGTGGTAGGCGTCTCTGACTGTCGAACGCGGGGTACCACCCGGAGGATCTCGTAGGCGGAGCCAGAATTGTGTGCATTTTGCATACACACGTGTTCCCTCGCCAGAAGTCCGTGTGGCGTTCCCCCTTTCCCTGTATCGCCCTATAGCCCCACGGTACCCAATGGGTGTTTAGGCCTTAGGCCTTCGTGGTAGTTGGAGTATAAAAAAACCTACGCAAGTTGTCTCTTTTGTTCAGATTCACACATATTGAATATTTAACTTAGTATGTTTGTCTGAGCCTGAAAGCGCACGGGTGCAACACTTTCTACTTCAAATATTAATAATTACACACTAAGATGCAAAAGGTATATAAAAATAAAGGTGTTGCGCGTCTGCGCTCACATTAAAAGAAAAGTTGGAATCTCATTACGATATTGTAAATTGATTTGTTTCAACATTTTTTTTAAGCTTTATGTCCAAGAATGTTTATTAAAGATAAAAACACTAGATTAAATATTCGAAAATATGTAAATACATTGGATAAAAATTTCAAAATTGCGAGGAGTTGAAAGTACGTATATTCTAAAATTCTTAAAATAAAAATTGGTAGATACGATCAATTTGACGTTTTTTTCCTAATCACTATGATGGACAACTCGGACAATCAACTTTAATAAAATATGCTACTAACTAATAATTAACAAACAATTATTATATTACAGTTATAGTTGTTATAAAGATGTTAATATCTTCACTTCCCTGCGATTTAGCATTAGATGATAACCTTTTATTCATACATCGTACATAGTCATATCGCAATATTTACTCGTAGAAGCTTTTCTCGCGGTTTAATTTTTTTCTTGATTATAAACAAATAAATACTTACGTTACTGCTGCTTCAATATGTGCAACTCCTGCCAGTAGGAAAACCAACAATACTGCTAACGGTGCCATTTTCTGGATGAATTCTGCAAGATAGGAAACATCACATAAACTGATGAATGCATTGATTGATTTCAATTTTCGCTACTGGTGTTAACAAATTGAAATACGAAGATAAGAATATTTTTATCTGTCGCGACCTTTGGTTCACATACACATGTTGCGGAGCAAGGACTTTCGAAAACATGTTGTATTTCCTTGATTCGGACTTTTTTCCACCAAAATATTTTTATTT